AATATTAAGTTGTTTTTTATGGGTATATTTGAATAAATTTGAGATTAGTAACCTTGCTTGTTACTAAAGTAGATGAATTTTGGAATGGGTGAATGGTTACTTTTAAGTTGTTTTGATGGGTAATTTTGAAAAAAAATTAGAGATTAGTAACCTTGTTAGTTTAGCAATTTTGAATAAATTAGATGAATTAAAGTAGTGAATACATTGTTTAGCAATTGTTAGTTCGATTAATGATGTGTTTTAGCTTATAAATAGATTAGTGAATTGACATATTATGAGAAAGATATAGTACATACCTAATATTTAACCTAATTTTTGTTTATTGTTTTTTTTTAATAGATTTGTGAATTGAAGCACGAGTTTAGCTTGAGGACTACATATTGAGCTCAAGTGGGTAGTTGCTATATTGGTATGACTTATAAACTTTACTTAGCTATATTTCTTTCTATTTATCCATTTAATAAAAGTTTATTCATGAAATTGCAACTTATCTATTGTTTAATGGTAAATAAATACAACAATATACAGAATACTTGCATCATCATATTCCTAGATACCCGTTCAAGGCTTTCTCATTAGGAGAAAGTCTTGAATAGTCCCCGGTTGGGACTGTTCTTGAATGTGTACTCTCACTTAGGTGGTGAATGTATTTTTCTTTTCGATTTTAAGGAATATCTTGGCTTACCATTTCCTCACTATGTTCTCTGGGTACATATGTGGGTAATTAATTATCTACATCGTGTACTTGGAGAACTAGGGGAAAATGCTGCCGGATTTTCCTTAAAATTGGAAAGTTGACATACATTCACTAGTGAGAGTAGACATTCAAGGATGGGTTAGGTTGGAGTGATAAGGACCCTTTGGAAACATGCATTTTTTCACTATATGCATGGTATATTCACGTTTTGTACTTGAATTTGATTTACATAAAATATGTAGCAATTACACATTATTCATTATATGTTGCTATATATGTTTAGAGACAATTTACTAAATGGAGAAGGATCGTGGTTGGATGTATGGTAGACGCGATACATTGGAATTTTGGAATGGGGTTCAAGAGTTTTGCGAGAAGGCTTTAGCTTATCAACGCAAACTGGGTGGCAAAGGCCTTTATTGTCCTTGTGTTGATTGTAATAATGTGAATGTGGTCGATAGTGTTGAAATCATTAGAGATCATGTATTATGTCGTGGGTTTAGGCATTTATACCATGTGTGGATTTGGCACGGAGAAAGTGGAGAGTATAGTGGGGATCTTGATCGGAATGATGTCCGTGTTAGAAGCAATGAGATTCATGTGGACGAGGAATACGAGAATGATGACTATAATGTTGATAATGGTGAGAATGGAGCTGATGATGATCAGGCGGATGAGGTCGAGGATGAACAAGTGGATGAGATGTTGCATGGTGTTGAAGGTGGAGTGTTTGAGTTATTATCGGAGGCTTCCAAAAAGCCTTTGTATCCCGGGTGAAAAAACTACTCCAAATTATCGGTCGTGCTAACACTTTTAAACATTAAGTCGAAGCATGGGTGGACGGACATCAGTTTTACTTCTTTGTTGACTGCATTAAGTGATATGTTTCCTGATGGGAATGAAATTCCTAAGTCTTACTATTACGCAAAGAAGCTCATGTGTCCCTTTGGTTTGGAGTATAAGAAGATACATGCATGTCCTAATGACTGTATTTTGTATCGAAATGAGTATGAACAACTGCAAGAGTATCCACGATGCAAGCGGTCACGCTACAAGCGCATGAGTTGCAATCCTGGCACGGAGGGACCTTTTGCTAAGGTGTTGTGGTATCTTCCCATTATTCCAAGGTTTAAGCGTCTGTTCTCAATACCAAAAGACGCTAAAAACTTGAGGTGGCATGCAGAGGGAAGAAAGAAAAACAGAATGCTGAAGCATCCAGCTGACTCTCCACATTTGAAGAACATTGATTTGAAGTTTGAGGAATTTGGTGATGAAGTCAGAAATTTAAGGCTTGGGTTGTGCACGAACGGGATGAATCCATTTGGCACTCTTAGTACCCAACACAGCACATGGCCGGTACTTTTAGTGATTTATAATTTGCCTCCTTGGTTGTGCATGAAACGTAAGTATGTAATGCTTTCATTGCTAATAACTGGTCCTAAGCAACCTGGAAATGACATAGATGTTTACCTTGCGCCGCTTATTAACGACTTGAGAAAGATGTGGGACGAAGGGGTTTCCGTTTTCGATGCTCATCAGAACGAGATGTTCACATGGTGTGCAGCCCTTATGTGGACCATGAATGACTTCCCTGCATATGACAACTTGTGTGGGTACAAGGTCAAAGGAAAAAAATCATGCCCCATATGTAATTGATGACACATCAAGCGTATACCTACTCATTCTCACAAAGATGTCTACCTACGGACTCGAAGGTTCCTTAGGCGTGATCACCCATACCGTAGGCAGAAAAGGGCTTTCGATGGAACCGTGGAAGAGGATACTGCACCTAGACCATTGACTGGTACTGAGATTTGTGCTCGGGTGAAAGGGATACGAACGGTGTTTGGAAAATCAGAAAAAACTGTGGTCTCAGCTGCTTTGTTTAAGAAAGAATCAATCTTTTTGAAGCTTCCGTACTGGAGAGAACATGACGTTAGGCATTGTCTTGATGTGATGCATATAGAGAAGAATGTGTGTGATGCTCTTTTGGGAACGCTTATGAATATCCCAGGCAAAACAAAGGACGGAAAGGGTGCGCAGTAAGATTTGAAAGAGATGGGGATTCGTCCAGAATTGTGGCCTCAAGAAAAGGTTAGAAAGGGTAAGGAACCGAGAATAGAAGATGAAAATGTTTCGAAAAAAGGGAAGGAGAAGAGCAAGGGAAAGGGAAAGTCCAAAGATGCGTCAAAGAAGAAAGTTGAGGGTAAAGGGAAGGATGAAAAGAATTATTTACCTCCGGGCTTGCTATACATTGTTAAGGGTAGAGAAACGTATGTTTTGTGCATGTCTGTACGGAATTAAGGTTCCATCAAGGTACTCATCTAACATGAAAAGATTTGTAACCTTAAATGGAGAATTGAAGCTAACAAGTATGAAATCCCATGATTGTCACATTATGATGCAAGTATTCCTACCGATTGCAATACGTGGTATTCTACCGAAACACGTGAGGAAAGCGATTACAAGCCTTTGTTCGTTTTTTAATACAATTTGCAGCAAAGTTCTTGATCCTTGTACACTAGATGCTTTGCAAGCAGATATGGTTGTGACTTTGTGCAAATTTGAGATGTATTTCCCACCCTCATTTTTTGACATAATGGTTCATCTGGTTCTTCATTTGGTGCGTGAGATCAAGTTGTGCGGTCAGTGTTCATGAGGTGGTGCTACCCTTTTGAAAGACACATGGGTACATTACAAGATAAAGTACGGAACCAGGCTCACCCTGAAGGAAGTATGATGCAAGGGACCGTGGGTGAGGAGATAGGTAACTTTGTGGCGGACTACATAGCCCTTGCTCAACCTATTGGTCTTCCTACTTCTCGACATGAAGGTAGACTTGATGGTCATGGCACAATTGGGTCGAAACAAATGTCAACAGACCGAGAACAGTTCTTACAAGCACATCTTTATGTGTTGCACCATGTTTCAGATGTGCACCCGTATTTAGACGAGCACATGACTAGTTTGCGTGACGAATTTCCATCGAAAGGTGAAAGGGCACTTATGCAGTTACATAATAAGAGGTTTGTTAATTGGTTTTGTGATCGAGTAATGAGTGGATTGGATGATACTAATGTGACTGATACAGTACGGTGGCTTGCGTACGGTCGTAGGGATGATTTCCGTTCATTTGAGGGATATGACATCAATGGGTACACTTTTTGGACCGAGGGTCGTGATTTGAAATCTTCCTCCACCCAAAACAGTGGTGTAACTCTTGTGGAATCGTCAAGGGAGTTTGAAAGTTCTAAGGATAAATCACATGTTGATGCAGAGTTGTCATACTATGGTTAAATTCAAGAAATATGGGAGCTTGATTATTGTGACTTCAGGTGTAAGTGGGTTAATAATATCAAGCGTAACGTCAAATATGAGGACTTGGCTTTTGTAGATCTTGGCCACTTGAATGATAGTGCGGAACCATTTATCCTTGCATCTAAAGCTAAGCAAGTCTTCTACGTAACTGACCCAATGGATTCAAAATGGTTTATAGTGCTAGCTGGCAAAAGAAGAATCCTAGGCATTGGAGATGTTGAGGATGAGGAAGAATATGATGCGTTTGATGATTCAGCACCTTTCACTGTTCCTAGACCTGCTGTACTAAATGACATAGACAACGAAGCAGGTTATATGCGATCTGACCACAACGAAGGAATTTTAGATTGAGGTAGTTTGATTAAAAGTTAGTAATGGTTTCATTGCAAATATAGTTTAGTTATCATGTATATAGGAGCATAAGTAGGCGAAAATGACCATAAACTAACATATTTGTAGTTTGAAATTGCCTAAGTGTACTCATTATCATGCATATACAAGGTTATAAGACCATAAGTAGGTGAAAATGGCCTAAATAGCTTCTACTTAACCCAATTCTTCTGTTTTGTGTATGAACTAACATTTATTCATTTTAACAACCTATATTCATTATATTTAACATGTTTGTAGTCTAAAATTGCCTAAGTGTACTCATTATCATGCATATACAAGGTTATAGGACCATAAGTAGGTGAAAATGGCTTAAATATCTCTACTTAACCCAATTCTTTTGTTTTGTGTATGAACTAAAATTTATTCATTCTAAAAACCTATATTCATTATGTTTAACATGTTTGTAGCTTGAAATTGCCTATGTGTACTCATTATCATTCATATACAAGGTTATAGGACCATAAGTAGGTGAAAATGGCTTAAATAGCTTCTACTTAACCCAACTCCTTTGTTTTGTGTATGAACTATCATGCATATACTTTACTATACACTAATATTGTTTTATGATTGCTTTGACATGTGCTTATATCTCATGGCGGACGATCATGACCCTCATTGTGTAGAGGACATTGACGATGATGAGTATGAGGACGAGTACGAGGATGAGGACGAGGACGATGATGAGCCTTATGATGTGAATAAGGAGGATGAATTGGGTGAGCCAGAGGATCAGGCTCAAGATGAGTTCGAGCGTAGGCTTGAAGAATTCAAAATTTCAGCTGAACGTGCACCGCCTATTGAAAATACAGCACGTGAGATTGTTGGTGAGAACCCGACTCCTGAAACTCATGGCCAAGGACAAGATCAAAACAACACAGGTGGTGGAGGGGGGGAAGGCACCGGCTCAAAGAAAAAGAAGGGGTCCGACGAGAAGCTTTAAGAAACTGGATGGTCCCATGGTCTTGGAGTATGACAACAACGGCCAACTCGGACCCATATGGCGTCGACAATATGCTAATCAAGTTGGCATGTGTACGCGGAAAATCCCCATTAGACTTGTAATGCGGCAAGTATCTCCGGGTTTGATTCTAACATTTTGGGATGATACAAGGGTAAGTGTGTTTTTGGCATATTTAGACAATTTAAGAAACCTTAACCTTATGGTTGTTACTAAATAGAAACTAATAATTGGTTTTAATTTGTGCTTTTAGAGGCTGTTTTCTATTCCTAATGATCTTGAGAAGAGAAGGGTGTTTGAATCCTTATTAGCGAAAAGATTCAGAGGCTTTAAGACCAACTTGACTAATGGGTGGATCTACAAGAAGAAGAAGAAATCAAAGAAGAAGAAAGCTGATGAGGATGACCTTCTCCCGTGGCAAATATGGCCGACCGTGTCAAAGATGATTGGGAAGAGTTCGTTAGAATGAAGACTCAAAAGAAAGCCATTGTAAGTTTGTGTAAATCTGATCTCAATTGAATAATAGTTTAACTCTTTTTGTAGCAATGATACTAACTTTTTTAGTTTTGTAGGAACTTTAAGAGCAAAATAAAAAGAATGCAGAAATGAAGGAATACGTCCATCGTATGGGGCCTAAGACATTAGGTGAAAAGAGACCTGAGTGAGTCGATTCGTGTTTATACCCTAAATCGCTTCCAGTGGCATCGAAGGAACCCTCTAGTTCCACAATCACTACTTTGATGAGTCGTGCCGGTGATTTCTTTTGTTCTCTCGATACGTTTGATAAGGAAACCGGAAAATGGGTCATCAAGGGTCCGGAAGCCAAAAAAATGGCAGATAAGCTTGTAAGTTACCTATGAACTGTTGAATTTTAAGTCACTTTTGCATCTAAATCACTATACAACCATTAACTGCTTTACTGACCTCATTTTTCCTTTTGTTATAGCTTGAGCACACTCAAGAGCTGGTGTAGGGCAAATTTGAACCAAGTGTGGAGAATGACCCTTTCACCATGGCTTTGGGAAGGTCATACCATCCAAGACGAGTAGTAGGTTCGGGAGGGTCATTGCTTGGATTGCAAAAGGTGATGGGTCTAGAATACACAAAATCGGGTAGATCTCGAGCCAGTGTTAACTCACCGAGGGAGTTGGATGCCAAGGTGGCATCAATTAAGGAACAAGTACGCAATGAGTTAGTAGGTGAATTCAATGCTCGGGGGAAGCAGATGAACTTACCGACTTTGCCGTTCCTCGCAAGTACCCCAGTCGACTCATGTTCTCAACCAAAAGGACAAGGAGAAGGTGATATACATGGAGGAGATGAGATACGTGGTGAAGATGTGCCACCTGAGGTAAAATCAATTGGGTTATTCAAAGTTTTATAATACTGAGTTAATTGAGATTTGAGGTGGCATGATTGATGTACTATTGCAGGTTCCTACTCCTACACATGCTGACTTGAGGGAGCTTGATAATCCAACACCGCATGAATATCCAGAGTTACAGGTGATTTGTAACCCTCTACCTTAATGAATTTTGTTATATTATATATGCTGTTGTAAAATTCCTATTTAAATATCTTCTTTTTATATATAAACTTGTGTAGGAAGACATCCGGTGTGCACTTCTAGCCCCGGGGCATGCAAATAGTATGGCGTTGAGTTTGGTGGCGTATTGTAGTGCCCAAGCGACGACGAGTGCTACGGCGGGGCCACATCATTACTCGGTTGGGATCGATTCAGTGGTTACGGGGTTCTAAGACATCCCACTACCCGTACCGATAGAGGAGGTTGAGATAACAAAGCTTTGGTAAGCTATAGGTAGCTTCGTTGATTGGCCACGTGCATGGGTCAAGTTGATTAATAAGGAGGTAAATTATTTATTTCTCAATTTTTTAAGTGTTAAATAACCGTTAGGCACTCTAAAAATAAAACTGCCGAAATAGCAGGACTTTCCGGCCCCCATCTTCGATGCCGAGGCAGCGGCGGCCTCGTCTGGTGCTCCTTGCGCTGCTCCGGCCTCCAGAGCGACTGCCCGGGCAGCTCAAACCTCGAGAGCCGCTGCCTGGGCAGCTCCGGACTCAGCAGCCGTTGCCGGATGCTCCGGCATTGGAATCACGTAGCCCCAGGAGCGCCTGCAGTGGCTGAAGCAGCCCCAGCAGCCGGTGCCGGGGCTGCTGCAGCCTCTGCCTGTGCTGCTGCCGAGGCTGCAGCAGCCATGGCAGCCGCCTTCTGAGGCTGCTACAGCCTTGGCAGGCGGCTGCCGGGGCTGCTGTGGCCTAGGCGCGGGCTGCCTTTGCTCTTTCGGCAGAGGGGGCGGCTCCCTCGGGTGTTCTGGTTTGGCGGAACTTGCGTATTTTTTTATAAAAAAATTTGAGCATTTTTTTTTTTAAAAAAAAAAAAAAAAACTCAGCGGAATGGCTTTTCGCATGCCTATTTTCTTCATTTCTCAAATTATAAACTTATTCACTCTCAAACCATCTCATTATTACATATTTATAAGTGGTTGTCAGTTGAAATTACATAAAAGAAGCTATGTTCTAAGGTTTTGGGTCCAATTCATCAAAATAAAGCCATTTTGAGCCATAAAGGCTTCTCACTTGCCTATTTTCTTCATTTCTCAACTTATAAAGTCCTTGCATCTCAAAATATCTCATAATTACATATTTATAAGTGGTTGTCAGTTGAAATTACATAAAAATAGCTAAGTTCTAAGGTTTTGGGTCCAATTCATCAAAATAAAGACATTTTGAGCCAAAAAGGCTTTTCACTTGCCTATTTTCTTCATTTCTCAACTTGCAAACTTATTCATTCTCAAACCATATCATAATTACATATGTATAAGTCATTGTGAGTTGAAATTGCATAAAAGAAGCAAATTTCTAAGTTTTTTGGCGCATTTCATCAAAATAAAGTCATTTTGAGCCGAAATGGCTACTCACTTGCCTATTTTCTTCATTTCTCGACTTATAAACTTATTCATTCTCAAACCATATCATAATTACATATTTATAAGTGATTGTGAGTTGAAATTTCATAAAAGAATCAAAGTTCTAAGTTTTTGGACTCATTTCATCAAAATAAAGCGATTTTGAGCCGAAATGGCTACTTCTTTGCCTATTTTATTCAATTCTCAACTTATAAACTTATTCATTCTCAAACCATATCATAATTACATATTTATAAGTGATTTTCAGTTGAAATTACATAAAAGAAGATAAGTTCTAAGGTCTTGGGTCCAATTCATCTAAATAAAGCCATTTTGAGCCGAAATGGCTTCTCATTTGCCTATTTTCTTCATTTCTCAACTTATAAACTTATTCATTCTCAAACCATATCTAATTACATAATTATAAGTGATTGTGTGTTGAAATTACATAAAAGAAGAAAAGTTCCAAAGTTTTTGGGCCCATTTCATCAAAATAAAGCCATTTTCTTTATTTCTCAACTTATAAACTTATTCTTTCTCAATTCAGATTTCGCATGGAAGCAAAACTTCAAAGAGAAAAAGGGTGGAAAAACCTAAAAGCATTGATCAACCTAAGAAGAAGCTAAGTGAACAAAGGTCCAAGAGTGAACAAGCGTCGAAGTTGCACTCTTCGAAAGGTTCACCCATGCAACCTACTCCACTAGTTGAAGACATTGGTCTTCAATCGCTCTCTGCTGACATGACCTTTCTTCATAACCGTGCTTGTTATTTGGTAGATCCCATGGAAGTTGCACTTCGTAAGGCAATGTTCCACTATGATGAGGACGCAGTTGCATGGATCAGCAAAGAAGATGTGAAGGAATTTCTACGTGGTGCAAAGCTTAACATTTCCCTCATTCAAACATTCATGAGGTACTTCAATGCCCACATAATCTACACTCTTTTCCAAGTTATTCAAATTGATGGTGATTATCCTGCATGTGATTAATTATTCAATGTTCATGCACGCAGAGCACTACAGGAGCACTTAACTAAAACTGATTCTCCTTGTAAAGTTGGGTGGTTATGCCCCGAGCAGTTATCCACTACTAGAATCATAGAAAACCCCCATGAAGTTTTGTACTATGTTGAGCAAAGTATCAAGGAATCAGCGCGTGCGGGAGACAAGTTCATATTCGCCCCATGTTATAAAGAGTAAGTCTAACCATGTCAAATTCAATCGATTTGGCCTCATTATATGTTAACTCCTAAATATTAATTTGCTTGTCTATTGTGAACTTATGTAGGGAGCATTGGAGCCTCATGGTGATTTGTAATTCCAATAACACAATTTATCACCTTGATTCAGCTCGATCATCGGAGAAGTGGCTCGTGAAGTCTATATTGCAAAAGTAAATATATATATAGCTACCTAGTGATGATTATTGCTAATAATAACTAATTTAGTAGTCATACGACTAATCAAATTTGAATGTAATTTTTTTACTACAATGTTATGAAGAAGCTACATTGTCGTGCTCCAAAGGGTCCAACATGGAAGTCGCCATTGGTAATTTACATGATATTATGATTATCTTCAAAATCTATGTTAGTAAGTATTTGCTAATTTCCTTTGCATGTTTCACTGATGTGATTTGTTTGTCATATGCTAGTGCGCACAACAAGATAATGGACTTGATTGTGCTTTGTATGTGATGAGATTCATGCTTGACATTGTGACTCATTGTACGGACACTCAACAGCTTGATGAGGTAAGTCCTAAAACTTAATGAAATGCTATATTGATGTGATTTTTAGCCTTAGGCGCATAATATTACCCAACACTGACATGTTATGAGAAATAAAAAGGTCATTTGACAAGAAAGGTAGAAAATGGGCTAAATAGAAGTCATATGGGCCATATTTGGGCCATTTTGTATTAATATGCTCTTTTGATGTGATTTCTTTCCTTATACACCTACAACTAGATAATATTGACATGTTATGAGATAAATAAAGTTCATTTAATAAGAAATGTAGGAAATGGGCAAAGAAAAATCATATAGGCCATATTCG